TCGCAGCAAAGAGCTGTTTCCACTGTAAAACAGTAACAGCGTCCTGAGCAGAGAATGACGTCACACTCCCTTTGCCTGTGTTGCTATCCCAGCCTGTCTGTGCTTTGTTTAAGCCACATGCATGTGAATCCCTGCGTTTCCAACTGAGCATAGTGATTGTTATTCTCATCTACATCTGTGAATTAAGAATTTATTTTGACGACACCATTTTCATTGAAGTTACAATGAAAAATTACCATTTTTGTCTATGGATTCTGGTGGCAAACAAAAGAGATATAATAGATTCTGGTTAAACAAAAAGGTCTGTCTCTGTAGGGTGCCTCTCTATAATGTTGTCAGTACAACAATCTGAGCTCGTTAGTTTGGAAAACAAGCCCTTTTAGTGGATGTACTCTGATGGTCCCAAGGATTAGCTGTCATTCCCGCTGCAATTAACAGCCCATTTTGCAAATATTTTCACATCTAACTCTGTGAATTAAGGATTTATGTTGACCAAACCAGTGCTGGCAATTGATGCAAAAACTGTGGAAAGACTAAGAAAGATGTTTCTGTCCAGTTTAAGATATGTTCTACTATTATTTGCGAGCAGGGCACAAAATTAGCACCAGCCATCGGCCAAATGCTGGTAAAATATTTGCTTCACTCACTGGACAAAAAAACTACGTTAATCTATTGGGTGGCTGGTAAAATTTACTGCTCTCGCACCCATTTGTTTTCTGAGATGCAGTGCTCTAGCAGGGAATTTTGTATATATAACCTTCACCAATGTATCACGTGACTACTTGTATGTGAAAGGGTTTGGGTCATAGTGACATGATAAAGTTCCCCACAGCCTAGACAGAGTTTTATTACAACTTTCAGGACGTAATTTTGTTGTTGTTAGCAGCTAAAAGAATCAGCAAAAACAGAACCGAGCTAAAGTGAGAGTAAATATTTGTCCCATATTAATCATGTGGCCAGAATCATGACTCCAAATGAACGTTAATAGCTTCCATGTTTGCTGTATGTGGAATTAGGCAATTGTAAAAGCTGATAATATGTTAGTGTTGTGTTCACAGCTTGTTTCCACTGCCCCCAACTGGCCAGAAAATCAGTTAATGTAGGTTTAGGTCAATTTTGAGAAATTGTAAAAGTGCACAGAACGTTACTAAAGATGCACACATTTGTTTACCTTTTATCCAACTTGTTTTCAGTTAGTTTCTATCATGACATCTTCTTTCCGTTACCCTGTATGTGGTGCAGACAAGGTCGAATGATGAAAGGCATCAAACACTCATCTTTTATAGAGTTTTTAAATGGAAAGAGGAACCTCAGCGTCCGGCAGTGATCTCACCTGCATATTGCCTCATTGGCTCAACTGTTTCCTCGGCGTCCCGTTGGGAGATATGTTTGTCATGTATGTGTGTGTGTGTGTGTGTGTGTGTGTGTGTGTGTGTGTGTGTGTGTGTGCACGTGCCTGAACACACGCTTGTGTGAATTGATGAACTTTATGAATGAAAACTCTTCTTCCTGAGCTCCAGACAGGAGGTGAGATCATCTTGTTGAAATGGAGAATCCCCCACCCACCAACCTCCTTACCCGCCCACCAATACTGGTTGGCGCCAATCTTAATGAATCCCATCAGTGGGCAATATGGATGAAAGGCACAGTAGTGGCAACCCTGATTGATTACAATACGGTCCAATATCAACTTCCCCCGGCAGACAGGAAGGGATCATTCCTTCGTGTATATTGACACAGACATACACAAGCGTGCACAAATATAGACACATGCTAACCTGTGTTCTTTCATCTGAAACCTAAAAGAATGTCCCTGCTATTGTTGGTTTTCAGTCAATATGATGTTCAAACAGAGAGCCAATTATCTTTGCTTCTTTTGTTCACGTTCCCTTTAGGAACAGAGTTGAGTGGATTTGATGATTGGCCACCTATTCAGCAGTGTGTGAGTGAAAGTGACAATGGGTAACACAAGGGGCTCTCGATGAGAATCCATAAATAGGCTCTCCAAAGAGCCAGAAGCTGCCCTCCCCCTCATCCTCTACAGCCAACCACACACACACACACACACACACACACACACACACACACACACACACACACACACACTTATACTCTGCCCCCTTCCCCCTTAACCGGACTGGGACAATCTGTGACCACTTGGCACCGGGTCTTTCACAGCATACTGTACACATAGTCAAAGGCATCCATACGCACATGCACACACATGACATTCCTCTCGACTTCACTGCAGGCTTTTGTTAATTCCCTCCTACAGATTATGAGGCATGTTGCCAAACAATGCAGCATTTTACATCAGACTGTGGTGGATACCATAGAGTGATGTACAGTCATTCCTTTGGTAGTCGGATTAAAGCTTTGCAGCTCTAATTGTTCACATTTAGTTTATTTTCTCTTAAATTACAAGATGATCTTTGCATGTATGTAGTGGGTTTGTAACATGACAGGAGAATGCACGTAGCTCATTCTGAATCCACTGTGCAGTCTCACTGCATATATTTTTTTAAAAAGCTGTCGCTTTGTAGATTTGAAGTTTTTATCTGATAAGGAGTGATACCCTGCAGCGTTCATTCTGTGCTTCTTTCTGCTGGAGTAACTATAACAGAAGGAGAAGCTGTGTTGGTGGACATCAGAGGCAGCAGCACGGACCCTTAGAGGACTGAACATCCCTGACGAGGAGCCATCCTGTAACTACAAGCACCAATAAATAAATCATGAAGAAAGTTTTAAGAAAAAGATAGAAATAGAACAGAGGATGTGCTGCTCCATTCAGACTGCCTTAAGACAGAGTAGGAAGGGGAATTATAGATATGGATGGCATGAAATAGCAAGAATGATTAAAGCCACTGATTTTTGCCCACTATTTCTATTTCATGTGATATTAAAACCAACATTAAACATTCATGAACCACATTTTTGGCAACTTGAATATTCATTTGGGAACTTGAAGGTAATCTTATTATATTGTAAAATTAAAACATAAGCATTGACGTCCACTGTTAAAAATGATTTTAGAAGTGCAACAATTATCTGACCGTGTCCCTAATGGTTTAAATTATTAGAATATGTTGCAACTCAGGTGGTTAAACATTTAATTACTTTAATGAAACAGGTCCATTATCATTTTGCTGCCTCTCTGTTTCCCTTTAGTGGTTCTAAAAATGTAGTTATAAAAAACCTCTTGTTATGTTGCTCCTGTATCACTACTTCTGAGAGAACCACAATACAGAGTTCATGTCGCAGCAGAATGCCAACAAAAAACTCAAAAAATGAATAAATGAAAACAGAAACAATCCTATTTTCACTGAAGGTATCAAACTCAGCCAGTGTGATGATTTTACAGGATGTTATAAAGCTCTGCTGAGAGGAACAGAAGCAGAGGCATTGAATACGTGTGTACTGTGCAGGTTTCTCAGTCTCACATGGTTGGTCTGCGCACTAGTTGGGGTTTCCCCGCCGTCCACAAGCGATGCGATGAGGTCATCGTTAGGGTTTAAGCCCAACACGAGCTTAATCTGAGAGATAAGAGCTGGATTTGGATTTAGCACTCAAAAAGGGTCACGTACCATTTAGACTGGAGGAAAACACACAGCTCAGACATGGGATCCCCAGCTGTTCCACAATTCACATCTTCCTCCGTGTCAGCCAAATAGACTCTTGGAAGATTCTCAGTGTTTGCAGTGATTTGATGATCTCCCAGTTGGCCTGCAGAGATACACTGACATACGTTCATCATGCAGGATTCCCCTGACTTGAATGTGCGAGTTGTGTGATTTGGGAGAAGTGAGTGCCATATTATTGTTGATTTATACTTAAAGCTCACCATGATGATTTAGTGTTAATTTCCTGTGGAATGGCTGAACAAAACCCCAAAATATTTTAGTGTCCAAGAAAAGAAAGAAATAAGTTAATTTAATTAGTATTCATTCTGATCCAGTAGGCTTATACAGTTCTTGTTAGTGATTTATTCGTTGTGGGACTTTTTGAGGGTCAGTTTTGTTTGAAAATGTATTTACAGCATTCTGAATCTATATGTTTAAATGGCTTTGTGATATCTTGTAGGCCCATTTATGCATTTAGTTCGCACAACACAACTTTGCTGAGGTTGTGAGGTTACCAAAATTATTATTTACAAAAATTAAAGTTATAAAATCCCAATAACACACCCAATTGGATAATCAAAACTCTGTATAATCCAAATTGAAACATATTTTTGGTTCACATTTAAATTCATTAAGCTATTTATCACCTATTTAGTGCGTGTATGCGGGTAGGGGTTGGGGTTGGGGGGGCCTGACTTGTCTTGGACACAGACAAGGGGGGCCTTAAGGAAAAAAGGTTGGGAACCACTGTATTATAGGACTGCAAGAATGTCAGTCCTTGGAAATACCACCTCTGCTTAAAGATGAAGATGATGATCAGGTGGTATATTTCATATATTACGATTTTCAAAAGATTTGTGTTGAAATATGACAGTTGTTCAAATTAGTGTGATATTTTATTTCATTCAGGTTAATTGAAGTCGCTGAGGGAAACAAATCACGCCTGGGGAAAGTCCCATTTAGGTCCTGTGCTGTCCCACTCTCCCTATCTGAGAGAAATGGGTCAGTTGAGATTGGAGATGATAATAAAAAAAAACGACCTGTCGTCCTTCCTTCATGTCCCTTCTGTGGCAGACGGGGTAGTGCTCACAGATTATGCACCAATTACACTCGATACAGAGGGCATTAACAGGGTTTGAAGGGATTTACACGGCGCTGTCCAGTCAAATGCTGCATGCCTTGGAGATGACATCATTTTGATCACCTCACATACCGGCTGACCACCCTCCTCCCCGCCTAAGAGTAGCCTCATAAACCCGTTTACCTGCGCTCGTCCCGTGTCTCACCGAGCTCGTCACGGCACATTTCTCCTCTGATAGGAGGATACCAACGCTGCCTCCCTCCCTCCCTCCCTCCTCTGCTCTCCTCCTCTCTCCTCTCCTCTCCTCTCCGGTCGTGTTTACTATAGGTGAGATAGCGGTATAAATTCCTGAGTGTGCGCAGATCGCATCCTCAGAGGAGAATGGAAAAGAAGGAGGAGGTGGTGTAAGGGCAGGAAAATAAGCGAACCAAAGGGGAGCGTAGCTATAGCTGTGTTTACTGTTCACTGGGATACACGCAGGAGAATTAACGCAGACTTCCAGTCATCCAGGGCGGAGGAACCTCGCTGGATGCACAGAGAAGGAGGAGGAAGGAAGGAAGGAAGGAAGAGGGAAAAGCGTGGATACCGACAAAACCCAGAAAGGCAGAAATATTAGGTGGTTATTAGAATAAATCATTCTATACAGTGGAATAAGCGTTTGCAGTCACCAGCGATGGACTTAAGCTGTCGGCAGTGAGGTAAGAAAACGCAGATTTTACATTGGCACCATTCAGTCGCCGTCATGAGGAGACGGCAGCAGGTCCATAGCTGATCTTATCCCTAAATAACGCATCCGGTCCTTTATCATTCAAATATAAACCGCAGTAGTGTGTTTGACTGTAACTTCAGTGCTGTCAGTGATGCTCCTCGGATGCACTGGGGGGGGGGGTCGTAACTGCAAGAGGTGCGAGGAGAAGCGATGATGCGAAGCAAGAAACCCCTCCGATACATCCACAATGCACTGGCCTGTAACAGACCGTAGCCTGCTCCTGCAGCTCCCGCAGCTGATACCCCGAAATAAATAAAGTGAGAGCCCGAGCAGGACTATTAGGAGACAGGATCAGTCGGATGTGAATGATGTGTGATTATTCCAGATTTCAGACACCAGATGTGTCTCAGTGGTTGGGTTTTCTCTCTGCGCACAACATTATAATGAGGATGATATTTTCCAGACTTTGAGCTTCATGGTTGTGGTTTGGTTAATGAGTCCTCCAGGCCGTGTCTTGTCGTGTTTTGGATTTCTCTCTTACTATTTTATGAATTATGGATGGTTATTTACAGCTATAGGTAGTGGTATCACGACACAGTGGGCCTCATACATCAGATGCCAGGCACATTACTTATAGTGAGAATAACTGTCACGTATAATAATCTTAATAGTATGTACAGTAGATACATTTAGGTTTAGTAATTTGACCTTCAAACAGGATATTGACAGCAAATGTAAGATACTGCAAGTCCCCCATACAATGACTAGATGATAACAAACACGTTTTGTGTCATATACCATACAACAGCAGGTTGATGCTGGTACGGTTTAGGATTTAGATTTGTATCATTATTTTACAAAGCAGATAAAACCTTTCACCTCTTGCTTGTTAGAGATAGCAGAGGAGGAGTGGATCACTTCAAAAGGCTCTGACAAGAAATAATGTGTTTTCATTCTCCGCTGAGCGTCTATATGCTGTCCTCCTTGGAGAAATGACAGGCTTTGAAGAGGCTTGCACAATTCTCTCATTATCATACAGCCATCATTTGAGCTCATCCATTTTAGTATCCAGTGATGTTGCTCGATGTAAATAACCAGCTGTGGCAACCTTCTGCCTATACAGACCATTGATTTTTGTTAATCATGAACAAGAACCAAAAGCAATACGGCACTTGGTATGTGATATTCTGTAAGAGATTAAATTATTTGCTGCACACTTCATCAACCTTAGTGCTGAACTGAGGCTTTCTCAGGTTTACGTTCCAGACAGGCTGCTCTTTTATATTGTATCCACACACACATCCTGAACAATGTTTCACAGTCTGGTATCGATTTGATTTCTCCAGCAATCAGACATCATGACTCATAAGTTAATGTCATTGCCCTGATCACTCGGCACATGTATAGTGACAACCACTGCTCTCATCTTCTGCTTATATTTCATTTTACAAATTGCACCAGTGGAGCAGAACGCAATACATTTCTATTTCTAAGTTGTGAGAAATGCTAAAAATTATTGTTTTGACTTATGTGTGATCTTTGTTTCATGATACTTATCTTCTATGCAGACTCCGATGTCTGTTGTGCACTCTCTGAATTATTACCCTTCACCATAAACCCCTGCACAGTCCTTAAACTCCCTCTTTATAGAAAGCTGCAGAGCATTTTCTGGGAAAAATAACAAATTGACGAGAACCAGAGGAGTTTAGAAACCATGAATGTGAATTTCTTTGATACTGATCACAGCTGAAGGAAAATGGGCCTTCTTGTCTGCCTGCATTTGTAGATAGTTCAGAGCTGCATGGCTCAGATCTGAGCTTTTTGAGGTGCACAACAGTCACTTCACTGAGTTCGCTTACAATAACTGAGAGCTATTATAGCTGAAGGTTCTACTTTTAGGAGGCCTAAATAATCATTCTCGAGGTGACACTCTCCAACCATATTAAGCTAAATCAACCTTTCTTGCTCCCACAAGGTAAGAAAATGAAAACTTTTATTTGATTTATAACACTTTGCACTTTTTTTCTCTCTCCCTCTCTCTCTATGTTTGGTCTTCCAGTTCTCTAGTTATTCTGATTACCACAGGCCCTCATGGCGCTTATTCATGAACCTCGTGCCCCCTCTCCCTCTCTATCTGGCTTCAACACACCTCTCTCTGATCCTCCCTCGTTCCGCCGCCTCGATGCTGAAACACCCTGCACCCCAGAAATGGACCTGACCCCGACCCAGTGCGTCCTTCGCAACGTCCTCTCCATAGACACCGGAGGTGCTGTCGAGCCCGGGGGTGGAGGAGGAGAGGGGCATACTGCTGGGCACAACCAGACGCCAGGCGAGGAACAACAGGAGCACTTTGCCAACAGTGTCCTGAAGCTCCACGAGCATGATGGGAGTCCTGGAAGGACGGAGGGAGAGGGGCAGGAGATGGACAGCAGTGCGGTCAGGAGTCAGGCGGGTGACGCCAGGTTACAGTGCCAGTCTACCGGAGGAGGAGGAGGATTTCTGGAGGGGTTGTTTGGGTGTCTGCGGCCTGTCTGGACTATGATTGGCAAAGCTTACTCCACAGAGCACAAACACAACCTGGATGGTAAGTCTAGCAGTCCAATCCATTTCATTGGAAACACATAAACACATCTACACACACTGGCATCAATGGTTGCTTTTAGTTTTCCAATAACGGCAACCACTAGCTTTCATTTAATTCCAGTCTGAATCTTTGATATGCTAATTTAATGAGCTTATCCCCCACTTTAATTATATTAAACAGTTGATAGAAAAATGACTCCCACAAAGGCCATGTTGTAAACAAACACTTTCCTTGACGGGCTGCAGCCAGAGAGAGAGACTCTATCAAAACTGCAAAGGGCTTGTTTTCCCCTGATATTTTCCCCCCATCCTTTAGCCTGCTTGTGCCTACCCCACCTTCCTCCCACTACCACCCTCCAATGAAACTAGCTCCCTGTGACGCTGTGTTGTTTATGTCTGCAGCCACTACAATAGCGCAGAGCTCCCCCGGGACTCCTCTGCCAAATCTGCTTCATGAATTATGCATGGCCACGCTCTGACCCTGTGCCTCTCATCTCTATTAACGCAGACCTGACACACGCACGCACACATACGTGAGCATGCGCCCAGGGAGGACTGCACGCACACATAAACACATCCACAAATAGAAACACTTAATATCTAGCACTGACACAAACACATAAAGTCAGATAAGATGCCAAAAACAAACTTAATAAAATAAATACAGCATCACACATGAGTCTTGAAGGTGGTAGATTTATATGTCTCCTTGTCTTTATAGCCTTCTGATATTTTATCACCCGTTTGACTTCCACATCTCCCCTCCACTCCCCTCCTCCTTCCATCTCTCATTGTCTCTTTTCCTCTCCTTTTCATCCTGTGCTGTTATCACTCCCAGCCCATCTGCACCTCGCTGCTCCCCTCCTCTGTGCACCATTACAGGGAGTCACACACACTGACAAAAGCAAAACGGATATTATAAAAGTGAAATAAATAGGGGTATTGCAAATGAATGCCTGCTACCAAATCTCAATGCTCTATTCTTATGCTTTGGTAAGAAGGCACAATGTATCACAATAGAAAGCAGGAAAAATCATCTGTCCTTTATTGATTGTGAAGGAGTGTGTGCTGCCTGGTGCTGTCCTAAATGATGTCTAATTTTCAGATCAAACAAAGCAGACCTAACGATATTCTGGTACATCAGATGTGGCTTTATGTCTTTACTGTGAAACATTTGAGGGGCTCATTAGAGGCCAAGTCCTCAATCTATCACCGGAGAGCATTAATCATTCATATTATCCTTATTAATATGATAAATGTGTCTGAATCTTCTTCTCTTGGGCTAAGAACAGCAGCAGAGCAGGGTGTAGATTTTCTCTGTATTAACAGTCTGTCTTCGGCCACATGGACCCCTGCCGACCCGTGGGGAATCCCCCTCCCGTCTTTTCTTTTACCATCACCACTACCGTCACTACCCCTCCACCTCCCCATTCACTATACAGCCACATTAGGCTCTCAAATCCCCTCTCTCTTCCAACCCTCTCCTGAGCGTTGAACCCCTGTTTCGCGTCGGCCCCACAATGGCACTAAGCAGGATTTAGGAGGCTGAGGGAGAATTACTCACTGGAGATTAGAGCTCCCTGTCTGTCTGCCTGCTCACCCTGAGTCTTAGGTTAAAGTGAGGTTCAACTACAGAACAAGATATCAGTTTTGGCTCTGGGTTGACTGTAAGAGCAGGGGCTTGAGACAGGTTTTACTGTTACATGTCTGTTATTACAAAACAGCATAGCCTGTTGCAGAACTTTTTGGTATCAAGTGTTTTTTCTGTCTTGATTGAATGGTTTTAGCTTTTGAAATAGGTTTTGCATTTATACAACAAATAAACATGAAATGAGCATGTTTTTTTCATTTTATTAGCATAACATATAAACATGTTCAAATAATAGGAATAGTATATTAAGGAATCGTTAAGTCGATCCATAGCACTCACGTGGTTACAGTAAATATGAAGCCTGTAGCTAGTTAGCTTAGCTTAGCACAAAGACTTGAAACAGAGGGGAAAAGCTAGCCAAGATCTTTGTTGCTGGTAACAAAATCTGCTTACTAGCCCCTCGAAAGCTCACTAATTAACATGTTGTATCTCATTTGTTTAATACATACAAAAACCAGCATAAAAATGACACTGTATGGTTTTCAAGGGGTTATGTGCTGGTCTCTTGCAGGAAGATAGTGCACCAATAAAACCACAACGTGTCATTCCTACACTTTTGTATGGACTAAACCAGGGGAATTTTGTTGAGCCAGGCTAGTTGTTTCCAGTCTTTATGCTAAGCTAAGCTAACCAGCTGCTAGCTGTAGCTTCAAACTAAATGGACAGACATGAGAGTGGAATCGATCTTCTAATTTAATTCACAAGAAGAAAGCAAATAAAAGCATTTCCCAAAATGTCAAACTATTCTTATAAAGTATGAAGAGACTAACATCAAAATAACTCAATCATGTAACTAGACAAATGTCTGTATTAAAGTAAAATGAATCATCACAACATTGGAAAAAGGAAAGCACAAGTAAATAGGGATCAATTAGAGACTCAAATAAAATAAAGAACATAAAGGATATTTATATTACCCATCAAAAGTTCTTTATAATGGTCTGGTGTTTAGTTATGTTATGAAACATCAGCTGCACTCGTCCAAGTTGGTAAAAATAATCTGTAAATCATCACTCTGCTCTACAGTATATCCATAATTGACATGTTACTACACTGATAAACTCACCAACTACTTTGCCTCCATCTTTTCCCCCACTCTCAGAGGCGTGGGAGGTTCCATTTGAGGAGATATCTGACCTGCAGTGGGTTGGCAGTGGAGCCCAGGGTGCTGTCTTTCTGGGCAAACTGCACGGACAGGAAGTAGCCGTAAAGAAAGTGCGGAACATCAAAGAGACAGATATCAAGCACCTGCGCAAGCTCAAACACCCCAACATCATCACTTTCAAGTTAGTAGAAATGATCAGCTGGCTTTTTAGATCACAAGAATTATAGTTTTATATGTTCGGTGTTCAGGAGCTAAGAAATGCCGCCTTGAGTTTTTACAATGGGGCTTCAAAGCTGATTATTTATTATGTTTTAGAAAGCTGTGAATGTTGCATAAACCAAAATGGTTTTAACATTTTCTCAACCAAAAGATAACTATATGATTGTTCAAATTACATTGGAACATTATAATGTAAAAGTAAAGTTTACCATTCATTACTGGCATTGTAACAACTCCAATATGTTCTGTCTTAACATACTGTGCATACTTCTCTACACTCGCAGAGGTATTTGTACCCAGGCTCCATGTTACTGCATCATCATGGAGTACTGTGCCCAGGGACAGCTGTATGAGGTGCTGAGAGCCGGCAGGCAGATCCATCCATCCCTGCTCATGGACTGGGCCATGGGCATTGCTGGGGGCATGAACTATCTTCACCTCCACAAGATCATCCACAGAGACCTCAAGTCACCAAAGTGAGTTTTGTTGACCTGGTGAAAATGAACGGTGTGATTACAGCTCTGTAATTTAAGTGTAAATGATAAGGTCGGAGCTAGGAGTCTCACTAGTAAAAATATAGGGTGAGATGTCACTTACTGTGCTTCATGTGATGCAGGTGAGGATGAAGGTTCATGCTCCTTTTCTAATCTGTCAAGTATGTGATATCTCAGGCATTATCAGTCTGAGTTGGATAGAAATCGGAGTGAATTACTTCTACTGCTTTCCAACCTTTAGAACAACAGTTTCCGACCATGTTGGGTTTTGAAACAAAGCAGTGTCTACTTGCAACCCCACGTCACAGGTTGCATGATGTGTCTACCAGTTGTGAGTTAGCTGAGTTAGTTGGGAGTTCATTTGAATGCTTTTTAGATGCCCGAAGAGATGAAATTATCTAGTAATTAACAGAGAAAAAGCTAAGATTATAGGAAAAATAAACATAATTTTGTGTAGCAGAAACCTGTTAGATTTCTTGTGACCTGCAGTGGGGCTCTTGACCCACAGGCTGGGAACCACTACAAAGACACATTGATTGGCCATAGTTAGATGCTATAATTAATGTATAGACTGTTCAGGTTTTGACACTGTGATGACATGTCATGTTACTGACTGGCCCAACGATTAGTATACATTTAGTGAACAGCTGATTTAACTTAGCAATTTTAAAATTTTTGTACACAGATGAACTCACACATGTAAATATAAACTTGCCGTTCAATGTTTCATTCCAGTATGTTGATCACCTACGATGACTCAGTGAAGATTTCTGATTTCGGCACATCCAAAGAGCTCAGTGACAAGAGCACCAAGATGTCCTTTGCCGGTACGGTGGCCTGGATGGCTCCAGAGGTCATACGTAACGAACCCGTCTCAGAGAAAGTGGATATTTGGTAGGTGTTACAACCTTTTTAAACTGTCCTTCTGCAGTGGTGAACCTCTGCAATTCTCCCTTATGGTCTGTCTTATCTGTCATAGAATCTCATTAGGTACAGCCTACTACAGTATAGAGCACAGGATCCTATTTCCAGAAAATCTATTCTGTATTATGTACAATATCTCATTACATGAAATTCTATAGGGCCTCTGCCATATCTGATGGGTTGCCCTGTGTTAAGCCCTGATCTCCCCCAATACAACCCCCCCCTCCCCCATCGTACATCCCTCCATCACTCTTCCTCTCCGTCCTGAAAGGAACGCTGGCTAATTTAATAATTGATTTGCCAGATGCTGCAGTGCTCAGGAGAGGCTGGAGTAACCTTCCGAGCCTGTGGATGGTTTGGCCCGGAGCCAGTAGTGCATTAGCAGAGAAGTGAAAATAGGATTAAAAAGCTTTTGATGTGGAAAGAAAGCAAAGCATGGGTGCATATTGTGCAGTTTTGTTTAAATGTCTGTAAACTATGTAGTGGTCCATACCACAAAAAGAGTGAGTCAGAGTAGGAGAGGCTGTGGTGAGGTATTATCTAGCAACACTTGCTGATATGACTCCTGTTCTTTTCTGGTTTTTAAAGCGATACAAATTACTACACAAAATCTAACATTTAATAACTCTAACTCTATTCAATTGTATACACAATTATTAGGATAACAAATAAAATACTGTTAATCACTGAGATAAAAACAATACAAATCTATAAGCTAAAACCTATATTTCCAGTTGGTAATAAATACATTAATAAATAAATATATATTCTTCTATATTGACTGGCTTCAGTATAAGGCTGCATTGTATTATAGTAAATAATTGTAACACAGCAAGAATTTGCTTGACTTGGTGGAATATGGTAAAAACTAAACAAAAAAAGTCATACCGAATTGACAAATGGCTCAAAGTATTTCTACCTATCTATCTGTACAATATAGAAAAAAAATCAATAATGTAATTGTAACCCATCATCTAATTAACAGCTAATATTAAGTCTGCTGGTATAAAAAATACATCCATTGCCTTGAAATCAAGTATCTATAAGCATTTAGATCACAAATCATAAACAAGGAGATGGAGAGACTCTAAAAATACACACGTAAACACAATATCACACACACCCCCTCAATGCTGCGTGTGATGTGCCATTGGCACCTTGGATACGGTACATGGTCACCATGGCAACGCAGAGAGTCACCAACAACAGACTTTCCTTGGATACCTTCCCCATGGGTGCTGCTTTCTTGCTCCTTTACTAACCAGATGTAGAGCTGTAGCTCATCAATGCAGCACTGAACTGTGGTGAATAAAGCATCATGTTTTGTCAAAAGTTGGGAAATGATGATTTGTCACCATTTGCTGTTACCTTGGAGCTGTGTTGTATTTATCAGGACATATATGAATTGATCTGACACCAGGAATATTAGTAAAACATACATATATAAAGAATAGCTAATACAAGTGAAACTGTTAAGCTTTTATTAACATGATTCCAATGATAGAAATGACAAAACATTTAATTGCAAACTGATTAAACCTTGCCAGTTATCAGTTTAAGCTATCAAAGACTGCCTAAAAGGCAATAGCATCAAATATGTTTTTTACAGTGATAAAGTTGTAAAATCAGATATAAAAGCTGTGTTAATCTAAATCTCAAGATTTATTTCTGCAAAAGTTAAAAGTGTGACATTTCAGTCAGGCTTCCTTTCATCAGTTCACTTCACATCTTTATCAACGTGTCTCTAAGTAAATATGTCACATCTCTCTGCAGGTCATTCGGTGTCGTGCTGTGGGAGATGCTGACAGGAGAGGTGCCCTACAAGGATGTAGACTCCTCCGCTATCATCTGGGGAGTGGGCAACAACAGTCTGCAGCTGCCGGTACCTGATAGCTGTCCAGACAGCTTCAAACTGCTCCTGAGGCAATGCTGGTGAGCAGGCGGGAGGGGAGAAGGGAGAGAGAGAGATGGAGGGTGGAAGAATGATATGGAAGAAGAAAGATGATGTATCAGCACAAAGAGAATATAAAGACTTTAGAAACTTTAAGAAGGCTGAGTGAGTGAAAGTTGTCCGGGGATGGAAGGAGAAGAAAAACATATTTTACAAAGAGGTAGCTAATACTAAGAGAGGAATTTCTTACATGTCAGTTCCATATATGACAAAACGTTTGTTTAAATTGTTCACAGGAATTGCAAGCCAAGAAACAGGCCTTCCTTCAGACAGATCCTCCTGCATCTGGACATCGCCTCAGCAGATATCCTATCAACTCCACAAGAAACTTACTTTCAGTCTCAGGTAAGCTTCCTTTATCTCTGCCAACAGCTACTTTGACATCTAAAGGAGGGTACAATTTTATATAATATTTACATTTATTTTTATTTTAGATTATTTATCAGTACCAATGTAGATATTACAAAGAATGTTGATAGACAAGGACAATGGAGTCAGACATCACTTAATTCACAATCTTGTTCAGCCACTGCAATGTGTCATTATTAAGCAACAATATAATTGAGAACCATAATTTCTCAGTCTCTCTCGTCAAATAAATACATAAATAGACATAGGATGAGGTAGGCACGAGCTCTGTGTGCCTCTTTATAGAAAACCTCCTGTCAACAGCAGCCAGTATCTCTAATAGTCATTTTGCTGTCAACCCACTGCCATTTGTTTCTAGTCTGCCGCAGTAACTACAAGCAGTGCAGAGTGTGCAGCTGCACTTGGGCCCCAGGCCTCTCGGGAGCCCACTAATAATACCTGTGCTTTCAATCACAACATATTATTGTTGGTTCCTTGGTCTTTGTTCCTTGTCACACGTGACTGCTGATTTGCGGTCAGAGAGAGGGCCCCTTTTTTCAACCTCCATCATATAAAGGGTGATGGAGAAGGTCTGTGTGATGGAGAGGGAGGGTACGTGTTATGTGTTGGTGATAGGATGGGGGATGGGGGTCCATGACAAATATGTTAGACCACTGCAAACCCAAACAGATAAAGGACAGGAGACTAAGAAGAAGAAGAAGAAGAAGAAGAAGAAGAAGAAAAAGTATAATTGTGTGGAACATATATGTTTACTCAGCCATGCAGAACCCCAGATCCATTTATAACTCAAGCATGTATAATCATGAGACACACTTGTGCACACAAACACACAAAATGAATATGATTTAATTTCCCTTTTCCCAGCAGCCCACTGCCTCCTCCATTTATATCTCACAATGCAAAATACAAACCTCTTTCATTCTTTCCACTTATCCTTGATCCTTTATTTCTCCCTGCCCCCCCACACACTTGCAACCCTCCCCAGTTTCTCTCCTCTCTGCCCCATAATGGATTTTTCTTGTGACGTTAGAAAAAGGTATTTGCTGCTGGAGTGTATTGATTGCTTTAATGGCAGGGAGCAGAGAGCAAAGAGAGGAGAAAGAGGGGACTGGAGACATAGAAGAGTGCGCACAGAGTCCATTAGCTTAATAAGAAGACCATCAGTCATGCACAAACAGAAATACACACACACGGTGCACATACATGCATGTACGTGCACACACTCATAAATCTGACTTCCTTTGTCCTTTGATATGACAGGTATCAGATAACAGCTGTCACGCTCCAGTGTGTACCCGAAAATACCAGGGTCTTTTTTTTTCTTTTTTTTTCTTCTTTTGGTGCTCATGTCATGTCAGTTCATGTTCAGTTTCACTCCCTGTGTATTGATTATCATCTGACAGCTTAATGGGTTTTGTTACAGTGATACACATGAACCTCAGTTACTTAAGAGCTTTTTTTGCTAGATCAAGGTGCAACATTTTTTTAAAACAGGCCCTGAGAAAAATTAGACATACAGCCGGAAAGAACAAGCTGATAAGCTACTGATTTACTGATTGACTGACACTGGTGGTCGTACTGCCTCGTACAGACATATACAGGACATAATTAATCGATGTGACATAAAGGCTGGAGGTAGTAATATTAGTGGTGGCTAAGTATTGAAAGTAGAAGCTTTGATCATAGAAGTAATAATTATTAGAAGGTGAAGGACACCATTTGTAATTGCAACTGTATTTACTACAGACTGTGAAATTTAGCTGTAAAATTGTGAAATCTAAGTTATTAATGCCTGCTCTGATGGATGCGTTTTATGTGTCTCACCAGGTGGAGTGGAGAGACGAGGTGCGGCACCACTTTGAGAAGATCAAGTCTGAGGGCACGTGTCTTCACAGGCTGGATGAGGAGCTGATCAAACGACGCAGAGAAGAACTCAGGTTAGCAGAGAAATCCTAACATGGACACACGACCTTGAAATTACAGATGTGTGGATACATAGAAAATATCTCCTCCACAAACAAAGACACAAGGATAAGCTAACTATTGAGATTATGGTAGTATTAGATAAATGTATTTATGTCCTTCTCCACATTTTCCTCTCCATGCAGACATGCACTTGACATCCGAGAGCACTACGAGAGGAAACTGGAGAGAGCCAACAATCTCTACATGGAGCTCAACGCCATCATGCTGCAGCTGGAGATCAAAGAGAAAGAACTGCACAAGTATGAAAACTGCCATTGATTTACAGTACCTATAAAAAATACTCACCCCCTTGGAGGCTTTCATGTTTTATTGTTTTTACAACATTAAATGAAGAGGATTTTAATATGTCTTTTGACACTGACAGAAAAATACCCTAGTAAAAACAGTAGTTTAGAAGTCAGTAGTACTAGAAGCAGTATCAGCTAATTAACACCTAATTCTTTTCTTTGCAAAGCTCCTCCAGTTCTCCCATGTTGCATGAGGATTGGGAGTGAATTTCAGACAAATAAACAGATGATACAGTGCAGGTTCGAAATCAAGCATAAGGCAGCATACTGTATTTTTTTCTGGTTTGTGCTAAATGTATCGCACTGTAACAGTAGGAGAACTAGGGTTGTAATTTTCCGCTAGCTTTGGATAGCTTTATCCATTGGCGTTGGTTAAACAGTGTTTCTGTAATGAAAGAGCATGGAAAAGTTCATCCGTAATGTGAAGTGAATGGCCATTAAATCCAGTCACACAGGGTCATTGCATGTAACAAAGTGCTCTCTTATTCCAAGTATCCATTGACATCCATTAAACGGGTATTGGCTTTGTGTTTAAACATTAGGAGGGAGCAGTCACTGGACAAGAAGTACCCAGGCTGCTTCAAGCACCACAGCTCCAGACAGTCAGCCTCTTCCAACTCAATGGAGAAACTCATGAAGAAACGCAACGTACCTCAGAAACTGCCCTCATACAGCAAGAGGTGAGACAGCAAGATGTTGCATTTGCATTTATATGTAGATGGTTTGATCAAGTTATGTGGACCCCAAATATAGTCCCCAAGATGTACACTATTTACTCCTGTTTGAGTAAAAGTGTTGATCCCTTTTTAAAACTAATGATATGTATATTTATGATCCAATTCTTAAAAGACATCTGCAGTAGGAAGTAATGGGCTTGGGGCTGAGTGCCACATACAGGGAAGAGGAGTTGAAAAGTGTTGAATGATGGACAAATTGTTAGTTTTGATCTTTTTAGAGAATTTATGGACAATAATAAAAGTACAGAATTTCACCAGCCTTATCTTAATTTATATGGTGAAGAGTGCAGGGGATAAACCAGCAATGAATGCATTTCAATTTCTTTATATTTTATTATCCTTTGCAGGCCGGACCTACTCAAGTCAGAGGTCATCCTCCCCAAACTGGACTCTTCCATGACCCAGGTCACAATCCCCAACAAGGGCTCTACCTCCCCCGGCCGCTCACGCCGAGGAAAACCCCGCTACAGGAAGGCTGGTAAAGGCAGCAGCGGGGACTTGGCTCAACTGAAAGCCACTCTCTCCTCTTCATTAGCAATGGTCAACTCCACCACATCTGTTCCAAACAGCAAGCAGCATCTTGATCCCAGTGCAGCCCTCAGGGGCCTGCAGCATGATCTGCTGCTCAAGAAGATGTACTCCTCCAGCCCGGATCTCATTTCCACCACTTTGGAGGCTGAAGGCCGGAGGAAGGGGCAGGTCAGGCCAGGGCTGGACAGAGCAGGTAGCCAGAGCGCCTCAGCCGGGCTCGGGGAGAGCAGGACTGGAGGGCAAGACGAGGGGCCAGATGTAGGTGTGGGGACTGATGATCTTGCAGAAACACCTCCACGCAGTGACACGCCCAGCGAGGATGCAGCTTCTATTCCGTTCTCTAGTAGCCCTGATTCGCCGTGTGGGAGGGGAGCAGCTGCGGGGAGGGCGTCTGTCCTCGGGAACCCTCGTGTTTCCCACGAGGGCGAGGAGAAGGAGGACGGGACAGTGATCACACGCTCACCAAGAAGTCAGCGCCTCACACCCGCAGCACTGCTCTACAGGGCAGCAGTCACACGCAGTCAGGTAAGACTTTAACAGTATTGCCTCATTGTCCATTTTGTCACTGACAAAAAAATTGTCTCTGTAATGACTTTACAAACCAGCATCCGTAGAGGTGTCACAATAGAATTTATTCAGATAAAATATGTATTGCTACGTGTTGTCACACAACCATCTGCATGTCATGTGGCATACTGTCATGCTGAGATTATTTAATTGTTTTGTTGTAATATTAGACACGGATGATGTCCAGATAGTGTAAACATTTTGGCTCTAATCTGCCAAAAATAGTTGACATCACTCCATGAAATACAATCCTCATTTATAGATGCAATGCTACAAATAAAGATAACACACCAAAACCACAGAGCGCGGTGGAAAGACCAGATTCAAGTGTTTAATTATGGGCCACTTAATTAGTAGATAATTGCTGCCACTGGTGCATAGTTGATTTATCAGTATTGGTAGTTGCAACTTCAACTGCCTGTTTAATATGTGTTAGTTGAGGGTATTTGTATGTTTGATATGAGTGATAAATATTTAGCAAAACCTCAGCCCCTTTGACTTTCTGAAAGTGGTACCATGTACAGTACGGACCCGGGGTGTCATCAGGGTCCTAACTTACCAGACGGCTCAGGAATCTTGGCAGGAATAAGAGTGATTAGTGTGTACTGAAACGGGGAAACACTCTGGTTTCATACTTATTGTTAATTTTCTCCACAGAGACGTGGGCTGTCATCAGAGGAAGAGGAGGGGGAAGTTGACAGTGAAGTGGAGTTGCCAAGGAGACGGTAAGAGTTAAATATAATTATTGAAGACCAACTGTATTTTCATTTACATCTCCATCCATTCGAAGCATCTATTAGTTAAATTCATGCTCGTGGGTCCATGTAATCTCTTTTTTCACCCATCGTTACCAACAAAGGCAGTAATGCCATGAACAAATGTTTATCAGTATACTGTAAATGTACTCTTTTCTGTTTTATTCCCATGAAGACGTCCTGTGAGCATGACCAAGTGCCAGTCCCTATCCACCTTCAGCTCAGAGAACTTGTCGGTGTCAGACGGTGAGGAGGGAAACACCACCGACCACTCTCACAGCGGCACGCCAGACGTGGTCAGCACCAACACTGACGAGCGTCTGGACGACAAGAGCGATGACCTGCTGTCTCAGGGCTCCGAGATTCCCGCTGACCCGTCTGACCCAACCCAGCTGGGCTCTGACGGGCTGTCTGAGAAGGAAGCTATTCTTCGACAAGTCAAGACCCAGCTCGCTAGTAATGACCGTAACTACGAGGTAGGTCGAAGAGAGTGAATGGAGGGAGAAGACTGGATCTAGACTGATGTGTAGAGACATACAGTAATAGCTGAGATGCAGACAATAGGTCAGAATCTGCTTTTGTTGTCAACATTAGAGAGCCGGTTGCTGTGTTAACTCAGATAATTCATGTTTTTCCTCCAAACCAGGGCCTGTATGATGACTCGGACTGTGACAGTGCAGAGCTGGACCATTCAGGCAGTGCAGAGCCCAGCCAACCTCCTACCAACTGGTGAAAATCTATCACCTCAGCCCACTCAAACACCCGCAGATACAGCCTGCAAAATCCTCTTTTACTCTTACAGACCTTAGATTACATGGAGTCATGATCAGGGACATTGCAGAGAAGCAGGAAATGAAGGCCTGTGTCCTTCATCACAACCAGGAACACTAAACAAATCCTCTGAGTGTTTTCAAGAAATATCCCGTTAAAAGCCCCCCCAGAAAGTCCCATTCCCTTTTAGATAAATGCATCACAGTGATGTGAAACTGAATTGGGGCACTAGCAGAGCTCACGGAGCAGCAGCCCTTTTCTGTTCCCTCCAAAGCGAGATCAGCTTTGCAAAAACACTTCAAATGACACCTCAGCGACAGACGCCTCAGTCAAAGAGGCCATCTACTCGACTGTCTATTAATGTCGCTTGTCATCTTCCATGTCAATTTGTATTTTCCTCTCCGTCATGAAAATGTGTCATATTATTTCACATGCTGTCACGCAAGGACATGATCATAAAATCCTATCAGGGCTTCTATTATATTTTAATGTTTCTGTCGTGAAGATCACTGGGACACCCACTGATGTTGCTTCTTGCACTTAATTTATGAAATGTACTGATTTCTTCGTGATCATCGTGTCATATTGCATCTCCTCTCAAAACGTTATGCACTGACTAATTTATTGATATTTTACAGTGAATTCATTGATATTCAAAAACAATGTTTACATTTTTCATTTGTGTTGTTTACGTCTTTTATTTAAATGTATGTCATGGGTTATGTTTCCATTTTCTACTCGTTTGTCTAAATAACAATGTAAATATGTGATGTTGTAAAATGAACAAATTTTTAAAATGTGAGATTGTATAATTTAAAGGTGCTGATGTTTCTAATTAGGTGGCGCTACTCTATTTGAACCTCAAAAAGCTTATGGTAGTAGAATGTACTGTAGCTGCTGTTCATGTCTGAGCATCAAAAACAGATAAAAGAGGAACAACATGTGAACAAAGAAAAAGCAATATGTCTGCTCTGGTATAGTATGTCCTGTAGTGTGACAGGTCAAAAGAACCAGAGCTAAGTTCAGTCAGGGCAGACAGGCTTTTTTTATTAGTATTGCAGTGTTTACTGTATTAAAACGCAATACCAGTTTGAAAATCCCTCTCCGAGCATCTGGGGGTGTATATAACATCAAAAAAGCATGCTTATGAAAATGTATGGATAGCCTATTGGTCACAGTTTGTAACTCAGATCAAAGTAACATATTAGAACCATCCACAGTGGAAAACAACAAAACAAAGACTCCAGATTTCTGGCAGACATTTAATGACTAAAGTTTAATGACTGAAGGCATGTGGATAACAGGGACACAAAACACCAAAATGAATCTCAGAATAACTGCAGAATGAGATTGCATTCATCATTCTGGCCTCACTATGTTTGTACCAGGAAGAAGGATGATTAGAGTTTAGATCATTTGGCTCACATCCTTTGGAATATTTGGATCAAAAATTTCCTGCTCACTCATAAAATCAGTGTACACCTAAAAATGAGGCCTGTGACATCCTAATTTGTCTACTTTTACTTATTGTCTTCCCCCAACATAGCAGATTGACTTAGATGGGGAAGTTACAAGCCCATGATGTGGTTCATCGGTTTACAGTCCTCACCAGCTTAAATTTTGTCCAACGTCATTTGTCACTAATGCGTAAGGGCTCCTTCATAATACACAGTATGATACATAAAACTCTGGTTTTGATGTACTTGTGTCCCTCAACAAGCCTTCATGTGTGCATATGCTTCAATCTGACTACAACAGCACATTACATCCTGTTCCATTCATTTATGACTGATCAGGTTCCACTCAATAAGCTAGAAATGGCAGCTTCTATTTTTTTAATCTGGTGTTAAGTTTTTAACTTTCAATTTGTAAAGCATTTTAGGCTGATTGTACCCCCAATATTTAAAGCTAGAAATCCTCCTGCAGGATTAAGATGTTGCCAAAAAGCAAACCTACTGCCCTCTAGTGTCTCGATTGTGGAGGTACTTGTGTTTCCCACGATGCCGATTAAAACAACCCTGTATGAACTGAAACGTTTGCTTTTTATACTGCATTATTGTAACTGTACAATAAATATATTTAAGAAACAATTTAAAATAAAATCAAACCTGTAAAATCTCAACCTGTGTGTGTTCGATACACTTCAGATGGTGACAAAATTCTCAAGACAAGTTGTGGTTTGAGCATTTCACATCTTTATTTCTGTATTTTTTAAACAATGTTGTGGCACCCAGGTCTACAGTCTCAAAAACGTGCACAAAAGTTTTTCTTTCCTGCAAATAAAAAATAAAATAAATTCTGACTTGAGCAAAGCAAAGAGCAGGAAACTAGTGTTAACTCACAACCCTTTCTTTGTCTAGTTCCAGAGCTTCAATGATTTCAGTTCTCACATTTGATAGACAGATCAGTCAGTGTCCAGGAGTTAATCCCCCTTTGGTAGTTAAAAAAAAATATTTCCTCCATTTAAAACAAATATTCCAACATTTTTTTTAAGTATATATCAGTCTTTACAAAAAAAGCGAGGACAACCCTCTGCTTCTGACCCCTAGAGCCAAGTCCAAACCCCCAAAACCTCCCATCCCAGCAAAATATCAACACATGATCTTAGGACCAGGAGAGGGGGGGGAAAAAAACAGGAATGACATGTAGAGGGGCAAAAAGTGAGAACGCGTAATAATACACATTTTAAATTATCTGGATAAATTCAAATTGTGAATGTTAGAACATTTGCTGTTATAACCAAATATAATCAGTGACAGTGCATGTACAGCTACGTATTGTCAGTGACCCGAGTGTAATTCATGTTACAAGCACTTCAATTGAAAAGTTGACAAAGGGGGAGAATGCTGTGTATGTTTAAAGCAAGTGAGTATGGACATAAAATGGACAGACTGACTTGTGGAACTGGGTGAGGAAAAGGGAGGGGGGGGGCGTGTATATAAACAGAATAAAACAGTCACTCTATTCTTATTTTTGATATTTTTTTTATTTTTCCTTTTTTGTCTTTTCCTTTTTAAAGAAAAAAACTGACTGTACAGAACTAAATCTATATGCCTATTCAGAGTTTTCCAACTCTACTCCTCTGTGATGGTAAAGAAAGAAAAAGGGAAGAGAGCGAGGGATCCATAAAAAAAAAGGATCTAGTAACAAATTATTAAAACCTCCAACTCGGCTCAAAAAGTGAATTAAAAACATAATTGTTTGCTTCTTTTGACTAAAACCAAAACAAAGAAAATAAATAATGAACTCAGCGGATCAAATCAGAGGCGGATGACATGATTTCAAAACGAGGAAGAGGTGGTATAATATATAAACTCTTAAGTTGGATAGTTGCATTGTTTTATGGTAGCCGATGATATAAAAGTGAGATTTAGTGCAGATGCAGTGTCTTATCAGTTGGCTGCCAGTCCTGTGGCCTCAGAGGAAAGCCTGGAGAAACAGACAAAGAGACACCCGGAGACCAGGGAGGGAGAGAAAATAAGGCATGCAATCAGACAGACAAGATAAATGTCATTTACTGTATGTTACATCATTATAATAAAATGCTAGATAATCTGGATTTATTACACAGGAAATGTATGCTCTGACATTTAAAAAAAAAAATTTCATTAGTCTAGTTTGGCTGTTCCTCTGGTCAGTGATAACTCTTCTCAACCAACTGTTGGTAAATAATGGTGTGGTAATGGAGCTGTTTTCAAGAAATAGTCCAATATCTTAGGAAACAGGCTTATTTGCATTCTTGCCGCAAGGAAGAGGAGAAGCTGGTTTGCTTAGCTTTTACCATAAAGAATGGAAACAGGTGGGAATCACTAGCTGGGCTCTGTCCAAAAGTAACAAAAGACTCCCAGCACCACGAAAAGCTCACTTATTAACACATTTGATCTAATTTGTTTAATCTGTACAACAGCCAAACAATCTATAACTTCCTGCCGTCTCGTCGTGACTGCGAGGTTGCTAGGCAACCAGTTGAGACTCCAGAAAGTCACTTCTCCTGGCCAAGAAATAGTTTGACACATAACCCCTCTCTAAAACCACAACGTGCTGTTTTTATTCATTGTTTTTTGTATATATATAAAGAAAAGTGTTGATTATTGATCTTAAGAGGTGCGTTTAGTTGGATTTCGTTACCTTTTGACAGAGCAAGGATAGCTGTTTCCCACACAGTTCCTTGTGATCTGGCTGCTGGCTCTAGCTACACATTTACTGAACAGACATTTGAGTGGTATCTTCTCATCTAACTCTCAACAAGAAAACAAATAAGCTTTTCCCAAAATGTCAATCTATTCTTTTTAAATTAAACTAAATTGGTTTGATGTTTGATGTATTCTTCATATCAACAAAAGAATCAAAATAAAGGGTGCCTTTGATACCTGAGGGCAGATTTGGAAATTAAATTACAATTGCGTCGTACATATTAAGCAAAAAATCCGAAACAAAAATCATCATGATACATATATACTCTCCGTTATGACCGCTAACAATAGTCACTTAAAATTCCCTACAAGAAAACTATTCCCATAAATACAATGTGACATCTTAAAGAGAGCCGCTACCTGAGCAGAGCTTACACAAAAGAGAGAAATGCTTCAGTAAATCAGTGAAATAATTCACCGTCCATGCTAAGTTCAAAGTCATTTAAAAATATATTGCGCTCAACATGTGATTTGTTTAAGAGACAGGCCAAATCAAGCTACAGATATCTATTTTATAAATATGCCAGCAACCATCTGTCTGGCCTGTGTAACACTTGTTTGTGTGCATTCGTTTTCTGTAGTAAGCGTGGCATCGCCAGATACAAAAGCAAGTGCAGGTACAGACAACAAAGAGCATTGTCAGTACTTAAGTAGTAGATGACTTATGTTTCCTTCGTTAGTAAGGGGAGAGCCTTCGTCTCTTAGACTTGGAGCTCAGCTCTGGGGCGATTTTGGGCTCAGTGGGGATTGGGTGTGCAGGGTTACTGGCACCGCTGACAACATGGAGGGCCAGGAGAGGGAGGGGCTTGAGACTGAGGAGACTTGACACACAGGCAGGAGAGCTGGGGAGCAGGGAATCAGTGGAGGAGGAAGAGGAGGAGGAAGAGGAAGGAGGAGGCGGCCCTGGAGCCAACAAGGACAGAGGGATGGAGGCTGAGGGGGGCACCACACAGGAGGAAGAAGAGGAGGAGGAGGAAGAGAAGGAGGAGGTAGCAGCAGAGGAGGTGGTGGTAGTAGTAGTAGTAGTAGTGGTAGTAGTAGTAGTAGTAGAGGTGGAGGGAGGGCACGGGCTGGTCTGTTCAGGGTTCAAGGAGGAGGAGGAGGGAGGAGGTTTAGAGGACTCTACACTGTAGAAAGAGAGACAAGGAGAGAGGGACAACACAGTCGGGATGGATCACAGGGCAGGCTGGTGAGCAATGGGTGTGGGGGAGGAATGGGGGGAGGTTGAGTTAGGCGTAGGGCGAGGTGTGAGCGGGGGGTTGTGGGGGAATCACTCAGGGATGTGATCAAAACAAAAAAAAAGACAAAAAAGGCTTCATTAGAAATGAATGTGTCAATCCAAAAATAAAAAAGAGAAAAAAAATCATATCTCTAGTGACGGATCAGTGTGGAGCAACTTAAAGGGAAAAACACAAGTGCAGACTGACAGAGTGCTAGCAACACCAAAGTGATGATTAGCAGCAGCCAAAAATACTGAATAATTAACCGAATCCTTTGAATTTGAACACAAATCCAAACTAGAAAGTCAATGCAGCAGGTAGGCACGTTTTTTGCACTTATTTTTTTTATGCATTACTGTAGTATTGTGAAATTAGTAAATTAGTTTTTCCTTTAATATTTATAGATTGAATCAAACTGAACTGACGCAGAGAAATAATTTGACTTAAAGTGAAACGACATGTAGCATAGCTGATGCAATGTTTTGATCTTCTAAAGCCTGTGACTGGACGGATCACCTGTTGGCAGTTAATGTAGTACCGGGTTATCTCACCTTGCGTTGATGAGGTACTCCGCCAGACTGATGCTGGCAGGTGAGCCTGTGATGGTGACCTGGCGGTCAGTCGATCCATCCACTGGATTTGCAATCTTTATCTGGGCGCCTGACATTTGCCTGATCTCGTTGATCTTGGCTCCCTGGCGGCCGATGATGCACCCAATAAGCTGTATTGGAGAAGAGCAGCAAAGTTAAGCGATAGGAATTCTTCTTAGAGCCTGAATAACATATCGAACAAATGGATCTGGGAAATTTGACGACATGGAATTAACAAGTTTATAACAAAGCATTTTATGCATGAAAGGTGGTCATAAAACATTTTTTTAGTTTTTGTGGTTTTATATCAGTCAAACAGCATCGTTAACAGTAAGGTGCACAGTTTGTTTAGTTGAATGAATTGTGGATTATTAAAGGTATCTTAACTTTACTATTGTATGGGATAGAAATTGACTTTTTGAAGCACTTACATCATTTGGAATGGTCATCTCGTGGGAACTGGTTTGAGCTGAAGCATCTATCCCTGGAAAACAAATTAACAAGAAAATGAAAAACCAACAATGATATAAATAACCAAACCAATATGTCAAAATGGGCAAATCAATCATGCAATATGAGGTGTGTAGACCTTACTACTACTACTACTAATACAGAATGTCAAATGTTATGTTATTTTATATATATATATGATCTATCATCAATTCAGAAAGTATTTGGGTTACTAAGCCTTAAAAAACCCCAAATTCCAACAGGCGAGTAAGATCTAACTTTGAATGTATCCTTGATATGGATTTGTGATCAGGTACAGTAATATCACTGCACCACACAAAAATAACATTCAACTGTACTGATTATGGGAATTAAAAGAACATTTGATATTTGTGATAGTATACTTATACAATATATAATTGTAATTTTTTGGAGACAATGTTTTCTTTAAATGTTTGAGGTACCAAAACAACCTAGATGATTTTGTACACGCATTCAACACATCCTGATTTTTGAGGTTGACAAAATTGCATTGAAAGTTGCATTGAAAGCCAACGGGCCTCGTTGTGCTGCATACCAGTGAATCCCTGGTTGCTTGGTGCGATGGGGAAGGGGCTCTGCTGCATAGCCAACTGGTGAAGCTTGGTGAGCTGTGGAGAGATAGCAGCA